ACAGCCAGGCTACACAGTGGTGCCGTAGGTAGTGCTGTTGCCTCACAGCAAGAAGGTCGCTGGTTCGCTGGTTCGAGCCTCGGCTCAGTTGGCGTTTCTGTGTGGAGTTTGCATGTTCTCCCTGCGTTTGTGTGGGTTTCCTCCAGGTGCTCCGGTTTCCTCCACAGTCCAAAGACATGTGGTACAGGTAAATTGGGTAGCTAAATTGTCCGTAGTGTATGAGGGAATGTATGTGCGTGTGTTTCCCAGAGTTGGGTTGTGGCTGGAAGGGCATCCGCTGTGTAAAAACATGCTGGATGAGTTGGCGGTTCATTCCGCTGTGGTGACCTCGGATTAATAAAGGGACTGAGCCAGGGGTGGCCAACCCTGTTCCTGAAGAGCCACCTTCCTGCAGATTTCAGTTGCAACTCATATCAAACACACCTGCCTGTAATTATCACGTTATGTTCAGGTCCTAATTAATTGGTTCAGGTGTGTTTGATATGGGTAGCAACTGAAATCTGCAGGAAGGTGGCTCTCGAGGAACAGGGTTGGCCACCTCTGGACTAAGCCGACAAGAAAATGAATGAATGAATGACACTACAGCCAATTTAGTGTATTCAATTCACCTGTAGCGCATGTCTTTGGCTTGTGGGGGAAACCTGAGCACCTGGAAAAAACCCACGCCAACATGGGGAGAACATGCAAACTCCTCACAAATGCCAACTGGCCCAGCCAGGGGTCGAACCAGCAACCTTCTTGCTGTGTGGCGACAGTGCTAACCACTAAGCCACCGTTACGCCCCCAAAAAAGTGCTTAAAACATGCAATATAATTATGCTGTCAAAGGCAAATGTTTTATTACACACAGTTTTTAAATAAAGTACAAAACTGCACCGCAAAATCAAAAATTAAAGTACTGTAACAATAACAAACTGTGACAGATGGCTCCATTCCATTTTGGTAGGAAATTATATTGTCCTCACAATATATTATGCTTATTACCTACAATATTATTTACAAAATAATAATAATAAATTAATGTGAAACTGTGAGATGTGTGATACACCAATAGATGGCTGTAATACAATATTGTAGTATGTGATCTTGTACGCTGTGCTGCTTCAGACTATTGCAGGTTAACATAACAGAATGTACACTACCTGACAAAAGTCGTGTCGCCTATCCAGGTTTTATGAACAACAAATGATAATTTCACTGCTTGTTGATAACATGGTCTCAGAAGTGGCTTAAATTAAAGGCAAAGGCCTCTAAATTATTTTTATTTCACCAAATTAAATATGATCATGTCTTGATTTTTAATTATTTAATTAGGACAGTCAGGTCTGACTTTGCTTAGACAAAGGTCTTGTCACCAAACAGAAGTAATGTCCAGTATAGAATATAAAGTCATTCTGCGGTGGAAAAAGGGTAAATATTGTGTGTTGTGTGTGACTCCATCATGAGCTTGGAGGACTGCATCCATACATCTCACGACTCAAATCTCTTATTAAAGTCAACAGGAATGGCAAAGAAAGTGTTCCTGCAGGGCTCCCAGAGTTCATTAAGATTATTTGGATTCATCTTCAGTGCCTCCTTCTTCAATTTACCCCAGACATGCTCAATAATGTTCATTTGGTCATGTTCATCAAGGTCCTGGAGCACCTTGACCTTCTCTGCTTTCAGGAGCTTTGATGTGGAGGCTGAAGTATGAAGGAGCGCTATCCTGCTAGAGAATTTACCCTCTGCTGTGGTTTGTAATGTAATGGGCAGCACAAATGTTTTGATACCCTCAGGCTGTTGATGTTGCCATCCACTCTGCAGATCTCTTGCATTCCCCCATACTGAATGTAACCCCGAACCATGATTTTTCCTTTACAAAACTTGACTGATTTCTACAGAATCTTGGGTTCTTGCGGGTTCCAGTAGATCTTCTGCAGTTTGTGTGATGATTGGGGTGCAGCTGGGATTTACCTTCTGCCAATTTTCCAAATAATGAACTAGAAGTCAAGTTAATATTTGTTGCTCTTACAACTGGAATCGACGACAAGACTTTTGTCAGGTAGGGTAGCTGTTTGTTGGAAAAATTCGATTCAAGTTTACTTGTATAGCGCTGTTCACAATAATTACCGTTCCAATAGTTTACCACTGAAAAAAGCTCCAGCGATTAATAAGAAGCTACTTTCAAACTACAGAAAAAAATCTAGTTATGCCAGTAGTTAGATACTTCTCAACACTGTTAACTTAATAATTAAAGCCTGGAACATAAAACGACTTCAGAACAGCGATTAGCCTTGAGATTTGATACTATCTACTTGAACCCATATATCAGATCCAAACTGAAGCACAGCCACACTGTGGAAGAAAAATCATAGAGACACCAGGAAAGAGGTAACCATGAGTGACATGTGCAAATCAGATTTAAATATGTAACATAACTTCCTTTTTTTGGAAAATGATCTTATGTTTAGGGTGTCCATACATACTCTTTTTTTTCTGAACATTGGGACTTTCTGCCAGGATTTCAAAAATATCTAAAGCCTGAATTTCTATACTCCCTATACTTTAATTCTCTATTTCCACCCGAGGATACTCATCCCAAGACTGTAGATATTATGCAGCGCCTTTGATGGGTTCCAAGACCTGTAAAGAAATGATACCAAGGTATCCATAATCTTGGACCAGGCCGTATCCTGAGCTGATGCTGTGGTAGTCATGGAGGAGCGGAGAGCATGAGACTAATTCCTGAAAGACCACAGTGACAGACGAGTCTTCGCATTGATCCCATAGGCCTGCCTGAACACCTGGCTGTTTCAGCGTCCAGCGTTCTCCAGCCTCCAGCGCCTAGACTGCAGCTCTGCATAAGAAGTCTGTCCAGTGGAGAAATGGTCGTGCCCAATTGAGCCTGGATTCACTCAAGGTCTTTTTCCTTCACTTTCGTCGATTAATGAAGTCTGGTTCCTCGCCACTTACTTGCTTGGTTTGGGACTTGTGGAGATGCACATCGATGGATTTGCTTATTAGTGTTCAGACTTTCAGCAGTGACATTTTAACCACACTAAACTGAACTTCAACTCTGAAAACTGGACTAACACAGCTTCAATTAGCTACAACTTCTATGTTAAGCGGCTTTGACACAATCAACATTGTAAAAGCGCTAAAGAATTAAACATAAATCGAATTTAACTGAACTGAATAATGCGCAGGTTAGTGTATACTCCACTCAGCTGTTTTCGTTTCTGTCAGCTTTGTGTTTAATTACAGAATTATAAAGCATTACGGCTCTGAACAATGTTTTGTGTCTAGTTTTTATGATTTGTTGCAAGTAGCCATGTAATAAGAAGGTAAAAGTACATCCAGGATAGTTGTTTACACAGAATAAAGCCCTTCAGTCGATAAACCTATCTGGATTCATTCTGCGAAAACAGCCTCCAAGATATACTTCATCATGGTTTTTACACATTTGTTTGCAAACTGAAGTATGGTCACCCTACATATTGTTGGTTATTATGGTCAAACTGGTGTGTTGTTAGAGGCAATAATAATATTTACAAGGCAATAATTAAAACCAGTATAATCAACTCAATTGCGGAAGAGGTAGTCTACTTGTCTATATATCAGGCACTCCTGAATCCTTCAGAAAAAAGGCACCGTCCCATTCCAGTCAATGACAGCACCTTCCCACTTGGTCCGGATGGTCATCTCCAGAGATGGGAACTTTTTCTCTGGGTCTCCCTGACTGTCATTACTGTCAGCCTCCCAGTGATGGGAATGTGTATCTGAAATGCAAAAGAGCGATGTAATATATTTTGCTTTCACACAATTATAAGCCATTGTAACATCAACAAGTAAGAGTCATGTGTACCTATAGAGAGTGTTGTTGTGTTGAGCTGAGTCGGTTGGCCATTGTAGAAATACAGCAGGAAAAGATGCTCCATCTTCCAGTCAGACAGCAGTGAACAGTTTGTGCCGAACAAAACACTGTAGGTGCCATTGATGTTGCACACCCAGATAGGCAGCTTGGGGGTTTTCAGCATGCTGCCCACCTGTAAGGGGAAAACATGAATAAATTAATGAATTAACACGGATGTGTTTAAAATAATAACAGACATACAGTATAGAGACAAATAAAAAGGCTTTTTACAAGGGAACCCTGTCGGCTGCCAATTTTCAGTGGAAATTTACTCATGATGAGAGGCTTATATCATTGAATCATCGCATTACCATTGTCAACAAAGTCACTGAATTGGTCAACTCCTAGCCACTTGAGAGACCTCAGGCAGAGTAATGATGTTCACTCCAGACGCAGATAAATTGCGATATTTGTGCATAAATAGACATTTTTAGTTTACTTGCTTCATTAGCGCGTCAAATTCCCCTCACAATACACTTGGATTTGCATCAAGGGCAGGTCTTCTGTCTGCCAAGTGAGTCTAGCTTCGTTGCTAAGCAGCTAACATGGATTTTATTGAGAGAATAGCTGTATTTATGCGCTTTAGGAAGGTTAAAGGGTCAGGTAACACCAAAACACATTTTTAGAGCTGCTGATACTGCATTCACACCAGATGCGGAACGCGCATCAAGCTTGAGTGATTTACATGTTAAGTCAATGCAAACGCGCGAATAGACATCCTGCGGTGCAATACACGCGAATAGTGCGGCGCGAATGACGCAAATTGCGCAAATGGCGCTTAATGAGCGTTTCGTGTGAATCTCTCGAGTTCGAAAATCTGAACTTAGGCATACATTCGCGCCGCGTTAACCAACCAGAAGCTTGCTCTTGTGAGGGCGTGATTGTGACGTAGAACCTGTTGTCGGTGTTCCGAGGGAAATCCTCCGGCCTTCACCGAAAACAGTTCATCAAACTCGGCTTGGCTCAGTCAGAAGCACCGCTGAAAGCCTCCGTCATCCAGGTTCAGTTTATGAGCTCACAGAGCTGGATGCACCTCTGAAAGGATGTAGTGGACTCAGACACGACCCTAAACGTATCGACGCTGTTTATCATAAAGCACATAAAGCACATAAACACTGTTATTTTCTTCATAAAATCCATGTAAGCCATTTAGCTATGAAGCTGGAGTCTTCGGGCAGACAGAAGCCCTGCCCATCACGCGAATCCGCGTCTGTTCTGAAGTGAATTTGACACGCGAATGAAGCAGGGTTTGACACGCGAATGAAGCTAGTAAACTCAAATGTTCACGCAGCTATTTACGCGCGCGAATAGCGCAATTTATCTGCGCAATCCGCGTCTGGTGTGAACACAGCATGACAGTTGTATACGTGTCCCATGCTGCTAAAAACACTATTAGGACACATATACTACACTAAAAAGTGAAAATGGGTTATTTTTGCATTATTTCGAGCAAATTCATACTCCCGGTCACGGCCATGAGGAGTGTATTCCAGCGTGTAGACTGGACGTCTGTACCTGGGAGTGCCTTATTACATTTCTGAGTGTGCTGCATTAATGCATGAGTAAGACTTGGTTCAAACCAATCAGCGCTTTATTGTGAATGTGGTGTAACTTCATTAATATGCATGATAGCTTCCAAGACTGTTTTTAGCTGTTACAGTGTTCAGACGGCAGAGAGACGCCACATTGTGTTGCCAAAACAAGCGTGCAGTGTTGCTTTTATAATTTGCCGCAGTGAAGGTTTTGTTTTCATCAGGTTTTCCTACACACATGCAACGGTCAAGTTACAAAATAGTTCAGCTTTTGCCACGGTGTGGATGAATACCAAATGTGTGTCATGTTTAAGAATAGAATAATATGCTGGTGCTAAACTGCATTGCTTTAGTGCACACCTACATTGGGCTCACACATACACTCTGCAATCTGACTACTTTAAAATTGTTGATAAGCCATGGTGGGCATTTCTTTCTGTTTCACACTGAACACAGTCGACCAATTGCAACAAACTGGTCATCGGACCAATCAGTGCAGATTTGCATTGGGCTAAGGAGGGGTTTGGGAACAAATGAATCGCTGAATGAATCATATGGGAGTCGTTGGGATAAGTAGGTAAAAATAAATGCAGATCATAAGACAATGAACGTGTTTTTTGACCCTCAAAACCAAAATATGACCTTTTGTAATGCATAATAGGGGTCTTTAAATGCATTAGTTGAACTATGATTAATAAATGCTTTACAAGAATATAGATACTTGGTGTTTGTAAATACATTAACTAATGTCAACTAATGGAGTATTATTCTAAAGTGTTACCAAAATGCAATTTGACCACACACAATTACAAAGCACACTGAACTGGGTACTGTACCAGTGGGAGCTGTGCGTGGTTGACTTGATCCCTGTTCCAGAGCAGATATCCGACATTGCTGCGGGTCAGAACACCATAGAGAGGTTTGTCTTGCTCTTTGCAATGGGATGTACCATTGAAGACATGAGGAGTCGCACGGCCCGTCAACAGCAGGTTAATTAAAGCCTAATACAGAGCAAGTTTGGCAAAATCAATACTAATAACTCACAAAAAGTAAATGATTAAATGAAACAGTACATACCTGTCGACAAACAAAATTCCCAAAGCGAAGATGCAAAAGTTGTGTAGTGGTACAATCCAAGTCTGTCTGTATCCTACAAATTCGGAGACTTATCTTAATTTATTTACTATAATTTATGACTATTATTTACTTAATTTATCTATCCATCCATCCATCCATCCATCCATCCATTCCTCTACAAAAAAAAGCAGTGCGTATTACTGTGGACATACCTGTCGATTGTCCTGGAGAAGATAAGACTATAAAGAAAGAGTATGATTCCATGGCTTCCTTCTTCCCTGAACTGCATACATTCAAGTCAAAATTACCACAACATAAAACATTTCATTCTTAAAGGGTTAGTTTGCCCAAAAATCTAATTTCTGCTGTTATTACTCACCATCATGTAGTTATAATCACCTGAGACATTAGTTCATCTTAAGAACACAATTTAAGATAATTTATATGAAATTAGAGAGCTCCCTCATCCTCCACAGACAGCAACAGTCCGAGACGTTTAAAGTACAAAAGCAACCAAAAACACTGTTAAAGAAGATAATGTGACTTTAACTGTAATCAAACAAATCTCCAAGAACACATCTGTAGACCAACAAACTTAGTTTCACCAGCAAGAACCAAGGCAAAATAGTTTCACTAGCAAGAACCACCATACAATAAAGACTTAGCAATATTCTCCTGGAGAAGATAAGACTATAAAGAAAGAGTATAACTCCATGGCTTACTTCATTCCCTGAACTGCATACATTCAAGTCAAAATGAACATAACATAAAATGGAGTCCATTAACATTTCATTCTTATAGGGTTAGTTTTCCCAAAAAGCAAATTTCTGCTATTAATTACTCACCATTATGTAGTTATTATCACCTGAGACCTTAGTTCATCTTCAGAACACAAATTAAGATAATTTATATGAAATCAGAGAGCTCCCTCATCCTCCATAGACAACAACAGACCAAGAGATTCAAAGTACAAAAAGCAACAAAAACACTGTCAAAGAAGTCAATGTGACTTTAACTGTAATCAAACAAAGCTCCAAGAATACTTTTGTGGACCAAAAAACATAATTTCACTAGCAAGAACCAAGGCAAAATAGTTTCACTAGCAATCACCATGGCAAAATAGTTTCACTAGCAAGAACTACGGCAAAAGTTTCACTAGCAAGAACCATGATAAAATGGTTTCACTAGCAAGGACCACCATAGCAGTCTTTATTGTATGGATGTGAGGACGAAAAGAGGTTGAGAAGGGATGGCAAGGGGACAAAAGGGTGGGGAATGGGAGTAAGAGAATAGTGGAAGTGTCGATAGGTTAATTTGGGAGTGCTAAAATGATGGCCCTAAGAGACTCAGGCTGCATCTGAAATCGAATACTTCCATACTAAATAGCATGTGAAAAACAGTATGTGAGCCGAGTAGTATGTCCGAATTCATATAATCGAAAATCAGTAAGCGAGAAATACGAGGATGACCTACTACTTCTGAACAATCCTGAAGTGCACATCCCACATCCCATTTGGGGTACTGTCTCTGTAATATTTAAGTAGAGTAATTAGGACTTAACCCAATTCAACGTAGGAGGGAAGAGAGGGTTATAAAGACTGTTAATGGGAAACAGAATGATATAGCGCAAGGGCTGGAGGTTGGGTTCGAGAAAATGAGATGAACATTGCTAGAGGTTTGATCTGCCTTATATAAGTTTAGGGAAGTAGGTGATTGGATGAGATGGTAAAGTGAGGCATGGTATGGTTGTTGCTATCGAACATGGTTGTGGCCGGAAGTTAACAAGAATTATTTTTATTATTTATTAAATTTCCCATTTACTGTTTTATTACAGTTTTTCATTTGGTTTGGTTTATTTCTTGAAACAGGAGTTCAATTCTCACTATAGGATTTTTTTGTAAAACAGTCTTACAGTTCAGCACAACACTTTACAGTAGCTCACTTGCAAAAGCTCATACAGACATCCCAAGTCTCCCGGAAGTTCCGAGAGTCTCCTGCAAATGCATAGAGACTCCTGGATGCCCGCAAACGAATGCTAATCTTTCGAAAATCGCGCATCTCCCGCACAGTCCTTAAATATGTTGCACACCCCTCTCAACCGCATCCCTCAAAGCTCTTCATGGTACGTCGGGCGCAATTCATCCACACAGTTCCTCAGGTACGTCGTGCGCAACTCACCCCCACCGCTCTTCAGTTAAGTCGCGTACACGTCCCCTTTAAACAACATGAGGGTGAGTAATTAGAATAAAACAGATTTTTTGGGTAAACTACCCCTTTAAAACAATCTGATAAATCAAAAAGGAAGCATATTGTTATACCACTTTAGTACTACAATATAAAATAGTAATTTGTCAAATTTACCCACACATTGGATATGCTCATATATGAATGCTCTAGCTTCTTCTTTCTTCTTAAAGGTGAAAAGCTGCAACTGCGGCATTTTGGGGAAAAAAAAAAAAGAGTATTGGAGTAATTACAACATATTCATTCAGCTGTATACAGATTGCACGTACTGGAACTGCACATACTCTCTCAGTGAAGCTGTCCAGTTTGTAGTTGAGGTGTGGCGTGAAGCAGCGCTCTGACGTCACCAAACACACGGTGACTGTCTCCTCCTCACCAGCGGCCCACAAGATATCAGTCAGAGCAGCGGCCAGTGCCTTCCTCTGCTCCATCTCTCCTACAGTCATCATACTGACAGAGAAGAAGAGATGACGATAGAAACGTTAGAAACATTTCTAATATACAGGTAAAATATATTGGTAAAAGACATAATGCTTTAATCTGATTTCATGAAATTAAATCAGCAAAAAGGTACAAGGGGGAAAATAAGTATTCAATATTGCACCATTTTTCTCAAAAAACATACTTCTAAAGGTGCTGTTGACTTAAAATTTAGAAATTTCTGATCTTTATAGCAACCAAAGAAATCTATAAATGCAAAAAAAAAAAACATTCTTAGTTTACAAACACAGTTATGTGTAATAAAATGAAATGACACCGGGAAAAAGTATTAAACACATGAAGAAAGGGAGGTGTAGATGCTTTCAGAGAAAGAAAATCAAGCTGTAGAATGGCCTAGCCAATCACCTGACTCGAATCCAATAGAAAATACAAAATCAAGATCAGATTTGAAAGATCCGAATACTTTTGTGCGATAAGGAAAATGTTAAACACATGCGGGGCATTTCTTATTTCTTTCTTTTTACTGAACTAGTCTGCAGTAACGAAAACAGGAGACTCACTAGAAACAAACAGATAACCAACCAGTAACTTAGGGTTATACAAAGAGTGGCCAACACAAAGTGTTGAGTCCCATCCCACGCCCAATACAATACAATTACTATTGTATAAATACAGTAAAGCAACATAAAAAAAGAGAGATTGACTTAGAATGTCAATTTTATAATGTTTTGATCAGCTGTAGTTTAAAAACACGCTAATCTTTTCTCCTCTAAGCATTTATTATGCAGTCTCTTTCGTCATCTTGTAGATGGACAACGTCAACCGTCTTTGCTTTGCTCAATGACAGGCTGATGGATGCCATTGTGCTACATCTCAGAAATGACAAATATTTTAAAATGGTCATTATCTTTGTAAATAAACTATAGATGCAATCTACTAAACAATTACATCAGGAGTGTCTAAACTCGATCCTGGAGGGCCGGTGTCCTGCATAGTTTAGCTCTAACTTCCTTCAACACACCTGCCAGGAAGTTTGTAGTATACCTACAAAGAGCTTGATCAGCTGCTTCAGGTGTGTTAAATTGGGGTTGGAACTACAATATGTAGGACACCCCAGAACTACATTATTGCCTAAAAAGCCTCAAAGGTACATTATGTTGTCCAAGAGCAGCAATATTTGTCAAACTGTTGTGAGTTTATTTAGCTGTTGTCACTCGTTGTGGACGGAGTAATCCAGAAAGGTGAGGAGGCTGTACTAATTCAGATATTGCAGAATATCGCTCGACTATCAGCCAATCAGACTTGAGGACCAGACAAAACTGTTAATATATTACATATATTATTTAAGGACAATATTATTAGCCCCTTTAAGCTATATTTTTTTCGATAGTCTACAGAACAAACCATTATTGTACAATAACTTGCCTAATTACCCTAACCTGCCTAGTTAACCTAATTAACCTAGTTAAGCCTTTAAATGTCACTTTAAGCTGTATAGAATCTGGGAGGAGTGGGACTCCTTTTCAGCCCTGGAGTTTCAAGCATTAGACTGGCCCACCTCAGTTCACGACTGACTACATTAAAATAAGGTAATTTCCAATTGAGTTTTTAATTACACCATCACGTCTTTTTCAAGAAAACAGCTGCTTTAGAACTTCAAATGTTCAACAACCTTACAGTTTTATATGTCTTAACATTAAAAATGAAAAAAAAAAATTACTCAGGTGAGGAACGAACACCGATTGATGACATTGTAACGCAACGTGCTAACCACTGGACCACAATGGCGCTGTTACACTTGTGAGGCCTGAATAATAGTTAGATCATCATTACCCTGTATATATATATATATATACATATACTGCTAATAATATTACAAACATAATCATAATAATCATAATAATAGTACCTCTGAATTGTACAGTCTGATTCTGCTGACCGATTGAAGAGCAAGTATTTAATAATATGAGCCTGAACCACCATCTGAACAGCACACGCTCCTCCCTGCAAGAGAAAACACAGTCCGGGTTCACATAAAAAAATATGATTAAGCATTATATTATGTAAGACAAAATTATTAGGCCTCCTGTGAAACATTACTTAATTTTCAAATATTTCCTAAGTGATATTTAACAGGGCAAGTACATTTTCACAGCATGGCAAAGAGAATAAATTTATTATCAAAACTACTATGTTTAAAAATCTTCTCTCCGTTAAACAGCACTTAGAAAATATCTTACATTTTTACAAGAGGGCTACTAATTTTGACTTCAACTGTACCTAAAATGAAACATTTAATGAACCATGTACATAAAATTCCTCTTTATGTGATTGTGTTTTCTTGTAGTAGCTTAATACCGGTGTAATCCGCTAATAACATGTGTCACACTTCAGTGCCTGAGGATAATGGAAAAGATCTGTGGTTAAGATAACAGCCAACATTTGAAGCTCATTATGCAATAATGAAGTGGCTGGTAGAGACGCAACATTCAGACAATAGCGTCAGGTTAATCAATCTGAAATATACAGAGTCATGGCTTTCCAAGAAGGATGTATTCTTGTACAAGAAATGATCTTCTAAAGCTTGTAACACTACCCTCCCTTCACTTAAAGTTCTAACAAAGGAGGCGTAACTTTATAAATGTGATCATGCGGTCACCAGTCTCAAGGTAGCACACGATACTGCCAATAGAGTTAGGGATACGAATGCAGCTTCTTTATTTAATAAACAATCAAAGAGGGAGCAAAAAGTAAGTTAAAGAACAATCCAAAAGAGTAGTCGGGTCACAGGCGAAGAGTCCTGGCGGCTAACAGCATGAACCATAAAACAAAATGAGGGCCAGGAAAAACGGCAAGACTAGATGAAAGGAAATAGGTTTGTAATGCTACCGGTTAACAAGACTCAGCAAACTGTGTGTGAAAGGGGTTAACATAAAATCCAGGTAATTAGTCCATAATGAGTTACCAGCTGAGTGTATGTGTGTGTTATCAGGGAAATTCAGGAACTGGGAGGTCACACGGCTATGGTAGCCATTTCTGGGACTCAGTTGGCGGCTCTGGCCATTCGTAGGACTCTGCGTTTGGGGAATTCATGAGAATCTAGTGCACGCTATTCAGGGAATTTGTGAGGACCTGGTGCCCACCCTTCAGTGCTTCAGGAGGAGCTGGCACCTGCCATTCAAGGACTTCAGAGGCATCTGGCACCTGCCATTTGGGGAATTCAGAAAGATCTGGATACTACCATTCGGGTCACTCAGAAAGATCTGGCGCCCACCATTCTAGAAATTCAGAGGACTCTGGCATCGTCAATGAAAGCTCTGGAGCTCTGGCTGGCGGCGGTGGCCAAGGCTCTTACAGCTCTGGTGACAGTGGCGAGGACTCTGGCAGCTCTGGCGGTGGTGGCAAAGACTCTGGCAGCACTGGCAGTGGTGAAGGCTCTGGCAGCTCTGGCGGTGACAAAGGGTCTGGCAGTGACAAAGTGCAAGCGGTCATCATGTAAATAGCAAGTCCCGCAGCCAGCGGGTGTTGTTCTAAAAAAGTACTAATGTGGTTCTCGAGGATGTTTGCTCCTTAGTTAAACTGACAGATTTGCTCAACTGGATCCATGTTTGACTTGAGTCATCTGTAACACACATTACTGGCAACGGAGTTGAGGATCCAAATGCAGCATCTTTATTTAATAAACAATCCAAGATGGTGCAAACAGTAAGTCAAAAGACAATCCAAAAGAGTGGTTGGGTCACAAGCGAAGAGGTGCAACAGGTTAACAAGACTCAGCAAAATGTGTGTATGTGAGCGAAAGGTGAATATAAAGTCCAGGTAATCAGTCCGAGAGTTATCAGATATGTGTGTGAAATCAAGGGGAATCAGGAACTGGTGTGTGTGAGGTGCATGATGGTATTTGTAGTCCAGTTTATTGATAGATGTGTAGTTCTCCAGCGATCTGCGAGGATTAGATTGGCTGTAGTGTATGTGTGTGAATGAGAGTGTATGGGTGTTTCCCAGTACTGGGTTGCAGCTGGAAGGGCATCCGCTGTATAAAACAAATAATAAGTTGGCAGTTCATACCGCTGTGGCTGCCCCTGATAAATAAAGGGACTAAGCCAAAGGAAAATGAATGAATGAATGATAGAAATGTGGACTATTATTTAATTTTACAGGATAAAGTGGTAAAATAATAAAAATGAGTTGGTAAATGTTGACAGAATTTTCATTTTTAAATGTTTTGTCTATGATTTTTTAATGATAATTAAAAGAGTGTCAAAAGGCCAGATGGATGATATTTGACATTTGCAAAAACAGATAACAGCTTGGTAACACTTTATTTTGATGGTCCATTTGAGTATTGATATCTACATCAAAGGGGCTGCATGGTGGCGCAGTGGGTAGCACGTTCGCCTCACAGCAAGAAGGTTGCTGGTTCGAGCCTCGGCTGGATCAGTTGGCGTTTCTGTGTGGAGTTTGCATGTTCTCCCCACTTCCTCTGGGTGCTCCGGTATCCCCCACAAGTCCAAAGATATGCTATAGGTGAATTAGGTGAGCTAAAGTGTATGTGGTGTATTTGTGTGAATGTTTCCCAGTGATCCGCTGCATAAAAATATATGCTGGATAAGTTGGCAGTTTAGTCCGCTATGGCGACCCCAGATTAATAAAGGGACTAAGCTAAAAAGAAAATGAATGAATGAATATCTACATAGGTTTGTTGCTTAGGTTAGTTACAAAAAATCTCTACTCACCCTCTCAGTTTCCAGAGCATACGCCATCTCAGAGAAAGGCTCCCGGAACTTGAAAAATGATTTCTTCCACTCATAGTTGAATATGTGGAAGGTGTTCCCAAACAAAACAGTTCTTAAACTCTGTATGAGTGACAAAAATAAATAAACAAAAAAACTAATAAAAAAAAATAAATAAATAATGACAAAAGTGCCTTTTACTTTTAGGATTGTTTGATATATATATATATATACAGGGCCGGCGCGTCTATAGAGGCGACCTAGGCGGCCGCCTAGGGCGGCAGTATAGAGAGGGCGGCATCCCCGACACCTCCCTTACCACCCGCGTCCTCAGTTGTGTCCGCGACACCTCCCTCACCATCCGCGTCCTCAGATATATTCGCGCATAGACGCAAGAATAGAGAGGGCGGCGTCAGGGACACTTTCATCAGCACCCACGTGTCCTCAGTTATATCCGTGCATAGGGCGGCAGAATTGAGGTCCGCGACACCCGCGCGTCCTCAGTTATATCCGTGCATAGGGCGGCAGAATAGAGAGCGCAGTGTTCGTGACACCTCCCTCCCTCAGCACCCGCGCGTCCTCAGTTATATCCGCGCATAGTGCGCTGGAAAAGAGGTCCGCGACACCTCACTTCATTTTCATAACCGGTCACTTACGTTTTCACATTGGGGTTGAGGGCGGCATGATTGTCCTCTGCTTAGAGCGGCAGTTCAGCTTGCTCCGGCCCTGTATATATATATATATATATATATATATATATATATATATATATATATATATATATATATATATATATATATATATATATATATATATATATATATATATATATATATATATATATATATATATATATATATATATATATATATATATATATATATATATATATATATATATATATATATATATATATATATATATATATATATATAAAAATTACCACAGCAACTCAAAAAAAATACGCGAGAAAATTAATTTGAGTACTTTTAAATAGTAAGATACAAAATCACAAAAATTAATATAGTGGGGTTATAGAGCACAAACACACACGCTCAATAAATGAAGCTAAAAATGTAAAACAAAACAAGTTTTAATCTTTTTTCTACAAAATGTCTAACGCACACACACGCACACACACACACACTCACACGCGCACTATCTATTG